TATGATATATAAATATTTTACCTATTTCCTGATTAATTTACCAGTTAATAGACTTTGCGGAAATTCATTTCTCAATAATTATTATGCTTCTTTAGCTTTTGCTAATCCGCGAGTATACGAATTCCGATTACCTAGTCAGAAGTGAGTTTATAGCACAAATTATAGGCCAAGCAGTAATTCATTTATCTCCGCCCATTTGTCTCATATATCATAAGCTCCATTTTGATTTAATTGCTCGGACAGATTGGTGGATGCTGTGCGAGCGGGACGAGCGGGGCGATGGCGTTTAAATCAAACATTTAGTTTATTGTCTCACATTTCAGCTAATTAACACTACGACGGGTGCCGCCTCTTGGGGCCAACCTCGTTTCTAGGGGCCGCCGACTGTTTTTCGAGTATACGAAAATCGGCTTAAGATCGTAAAAAACGCACTTAAATAAAATTTAATATTCAAATATTGACATTTAGTGCCATGTTAGCAACAACTTACGTGCCGTTTCTATCCCCCATTCGAGACATTTTCTCTCTCTCTCTTTTTCTCTCCCTCTATCTCTCTTTTATAGAAATCTATTTAAAATACGCAGTTTTTGGCATTAGAGACGCTTAATAATATTAACTAATTGATCTGCATTAATTTAAGTTGACATGGAGTCTAAAAGAGGGAGACAAAAAATAAAAATAAAAAATAAATATATGAAACAGGTGAAGCGAACTCAGCTGCCGTTTATGAAGATCGAACAGCATTGAAGCGCGCGTATGTGTGTGTGTGTGTGTGCATGTGTGTAGTTTGTATTATGATTATTATATTTATATGATGTTTTTTTTTTTCTAAAAATTATGACATCATTTAAATATTTTCGCCTCAAGTTGTTGTATAAACTGGTTTAGCCCAGAGTTTTTTTTTTTTTTTTTTTTCGTTTACTGTGTATGTTTAATTTGTATTTCATATGATTTTATTATGAATTTTTCCTCTCCCCACCATAAATGTTGGGTAATTATGCACGGACTGCCAAAAGCTCATAACTCAAACAAATTTCTGCGCCCAATTGCGTGATGCGCGATGCGGAAGCTCTTTTGTTTTTGCTTTCGATTTGGATATCGATTTGTATATCGATTTACATTTACATTGGGCATTGCCTTGTCTTATCAATAATATCGAGTGAAACGCTGCGTATATTTTTTTCGACATTTTATCTGTTATCAGAGGCACGTGAAAAATATCAAAAATTTAAGTTCGCCTTTGATTTGTTTTGTGGGCTACGGAGCTCGTAAAAATCTTTTATCTGATTTTAAATGAGTTTTGGCTAGTCTTTGAGCTCGTTAAAAATACGCTAACAAAGGCGAGCTCTCGACTTTAACAAGGAGTTTGTAGCACTTGCCTACAAGACTACAGAAAGAGAGCTACAGCTCTAGCATTATCATTCAGGTATAGGGTATCTGATATTCGAACAACTTTGGGCTGTCCTGCTTATTTGTTTTTATCGTTTATTTTGGCGCTCTGCATTTATCAAGCGCTGCCTTTGTGTTAAAATATGCGACGTTTTACGGCCGAGCTTACAGGTAGACGCAGGTAAGCAGACTTGCTATAAAGTCAGCATAAATTATATGGAAATTTCGCAGTTTGACTTACCGCATACGGATTATCCTGATTCATCATGGTAGCTGCTAATGCGCTCAGCCTGTGCGCTCAGGACGTGTGTATGTGCGTGTGTGTGTATGTGTGTGTGTGCTGCGAGAGAGACAAACAAAGAGAAAGAGAGAGAGGGGAACATGAATAAATAAATTTCAATGATAAGCGAAGGCTGTAGCTGCTGCCATTTGGCATATAGTCGAGCTTAAACTAATAAACATAATTTCAATATTTATGGCAATACAGAATGCAAATGCTGCTGCACCCATAAAGTCGCAATTAATGCCGCTCGTTTGCCTTAAAGACGCTGTTCCGGATTGCGTGGCGCAGGCGAGTTTGAATCAGAGCATCAGGGAGTCGGTCAGTTGGCCTTGTCTGGCCCTGGCGCTGGTCCTGCACTGATCTCTGGCCAGCACCTGATGGGGCCAACAGGTGTTGCAGCATTTCCATTTAATATGTGCACAAATTAACACCTTTGTACTAAATACTTTCACACTTTGCCTAACTCTGCTGCAATAGGAAACGCCAATTGTTGTCTTCCGGCTTGCCTTGCCAAGGATGCAGCAGCTACAGCGACAGCAAATGCAACAGTTGCAACTGCTTAGCAACTGGCAATAGCGACCTTGATGTGTTAATTTGTCGTGCAGCAGCCAGTCTAAACACCTGGCCAACAATCGATTTGCTGTGCTTCAACTAGAAGCTAGCAGTCAAACAAAAGACTTAAGCAACGAACTTTTTTTGGCACAGCTCTAAAAATCATCAATATGAAGCTGTTTGCAATTGATTGTGCTAAGGGCTACCCTGTAATGCTATTGACCTGATATGACAAACCTAGCTGGAAGTTTGCGTAAATGCGAATGACTTAGGCAACGAACTTTTTGGCTTAAAACTATCATCATAGCAAAATCATTAAAAGTGAAAATGATTCTTTTTTAATGTGCTGTAAGTTAATCGGTAATGCAGGATTCATATGTTAAAGTTAGGTAAATAGCTGCTAGCCAAGCTGATGACTTCGATAACAAACTTGGGTTCATATAGGTAACATTCTAGATGAACGGAAGTCCTTGAACGAGCTTAGTAAAATTCCAGTAAAACCTTTCAAATCTGTATTTCAATTTGCGTAGATAACTTAGAGCTTAGATTATAAAAATTTAGCTAAAATCGAATGAGAGTCTATGGAGAGCATTTTCGTAACCTCAGGTATCATTATTGTTTAAGTTTATACTTAATTTCCTATATAATGTATTACTACAATATTAACAGCAAAACTTCCATAACCCAGTCTGAGTCTTCCATTCTTCCGTAGGACTCTGTAAAAGGCTTTATTCTGTAGGATTGCATTGTAAGTGTGATCTGCTCCTTTATATATAACTCTATTCATATATGAATATTTTATATCTATAATATTCCCTAACCATTTGCTGTCGCTTATCTAAGTCAAAGCTTATAGAACACATATACCCACTCGACACAGCGATTGCAGAGCATGTTAAGTGCACACTTTGTGGAACATAAGATACCGAAAAATCATCACGCTTGTTATGACAGTGGGGCAATTGTCAATATTTGCGGCACATGCAAAAGCAACATGCGGCATCGCAGTCATCGACGACTGGCAAAATTCTTTGATTGCAATTCTAGGCTAGTCGAGAGACAGTTCCAAGTTTTGTGTAACAAATTCAAGCAAATAAAGCTTTACACGCTGTTTACACTATAGAGCAAACATGAGCTGCAGTACACTGCAAGAAAACATAGACTGAATGTGCGCTGAGAGAGAGAGAGAGAGCTGACCTATTGGCAAATATAAAAACTATATACAAATAATAAATTTACCAAGATATTTTTATAGATCCAATAAAAAACGAGATCACAGCTGAGCTGTTAATTGATAGCTGAGATGAGCTATAAATGAAGTTTTCAGAAATCTATTTAAAAGAGATAAAATAAGCAAATGTAAACAATAATATTTTGCTGTATATATAAATTTGTAAATTCATAAAATTATTCCAATTCGATTCAGCTCATATATTCAAGTACATTTAGCTCTAGTTTCGCTCAGTGTATGTGCTTTGGCTTACATTGATTCTGTTATATAGTCGTAAAGTTTATTTGCCTGCCCTTGTCGATTTTAGTTCTTATTGTTGTTGTTGTTGTTGCTGTTGTTGGTTTGTTGTTGCTTTTATGGGCATACTAAAAAGTGCACTGTCCAACAAAACGGAAAACTTTCTCACCAACTCGGCCCGTATGGGCCCCACAATCGTCAGTCAATTTTGTATGCTTTATCTCTGCTCGCCATCTTCTCCCGCTTGCGTCTGTCTTTTGTCTTTGTCGACTTTTGGTTGTTTTCTGAATACTGAATTTGTGCGTTAATGAAATTCACATGTTTGAATTTTTATGCCATCTCGACTTTTATACGTATGATGAATGTGTCTCAGGTATGTTTCATTCGTATCGCAGCCGCATCCATTAAACTGCCAATCAAAAGTCAACGCTCAGAACTTGGCCCGAACTCTTATGGTTATGTTAATAGCCGAGGCTGATAGCAGCTTTCAAAGACTTTTTCTCCACTCTTCCCATTCTTTTCTAGCAAATTATGAATGATCCACAGACTCAAGTTCTATTTAGCATCTCCATAAAAATAAAACAACAACGAAAAAAAAAGAGATTCAGAAATTGTACATAAAATCTCATACCTTATCAACGCCTTTGAACTGCCCGCAAAAGCCAAAAAAAAAAGAAGCCAAAGAGTTGAAATTACTTTGTTTAATCCAAATTTGAATAGAGATTCCGTGCGGCTTTCCGTCTCTCGATTTTTCACGTGTTTCAGTTACAAATTTTCATAGTGCACTGAGGCTGCAGTTTGTTATCTTTTTTGTTATATTTCCTATATTATTGTTGTTTGTTGTTGTTGCTGTTGTTGCTTTTTTTTTGGTTCGAAAAATCATTTAAGTTGTTTGTTATGTGTGCACATTGTAAACTCTCCTCGCTCGTTTATTTCTATTTTTATTTTAGTTTTATTATTACTATTTTTTTTTTTTTCACCTTGCGCCAATAAAACGTCACTTAAGCGTACAGTATTTTAGCATTTGTTGTTGTTGTTGCTTGTCGTTGCTAAATTGCACTTGACTTTTAGAACTTTAGACGAGCGTAGAGCTCAGCAATATGTACATTGATATACATGCATTATATACCGTAGCTGAAACTCTATAAACGACACAAACACGCGCTCGTTACGCTCCCTGTATTTACGAGTGTGTGCGAGTGTGTGTATATAACACACTCTCTGCACGAGTATGTATGTGTGTGTGTGTGTGTGTTTATTCAATTTGCTGCCGTCTAATTTATATAGAACATAGTGAAAGATGAGTTTTAGTTGACTTGTTGTTCAGTTGACTCTCAAGATGCATTTGTTGTCGTGTTGTTGCTGTTGTTGTTGTTGTTGTTTGACTTTAGGCCACACCTTTATGTGGTGAAAAGGCACTTGGACTTGAGTTGGGCAAATGGCGAACAAGCGCGCGCCTCTGTTTTCTTTTTTATGCCTCTCATGTGTGTGTGTGCGCGCGTGTGTGTATGTGTGTGAGAGAGGTGTGAAAAGTATAGCACTTGCGGCAATATAGCACTCTAGATTAACTTGTTAACTGTGAATTGAGTTGTTATTGGGTCACTTTGCATACTTTGGGCGGGGGATTGTAAGCCGATAAACGATAGCCGATATACGATATACGATAGACGATATACGAGAGTAATCGAAGTCTCGATCGATGAACGCACGTTACAATTTGCAATCGTTTCTTTCTGGTGTTTCTGTAAAAAGCCGACGACGCAGCGTGCGAGCGTGCGACATGCGATTCGAGCGTGCGAGCAAGAAGCGCGAGCTATCACTAAAGACTGATGTTAAACAGTTCTGCAAAATGCTCTGGGTACGAAAATACCGAACACCGCACCTGGTAGCGGCTACGACAACGACAACGGCAAAGGCAACGGCAACGGCAACGACGGCTGCTGCTGTTGTTGCTGCTGCTGCGGAGGCCTCTGCAAAATGCTCACGAGCACTGAGATGCTTTGCAATCAACGGCGCGAATACGAAGCGACAGCCTGGGCTTCGGCTTCGGCTACCATACGGCAGCAGCAACGACAACGACAGCCACAACAACAACCACAATGAGAAGAAGCTACTGCTATAAACAAAAACTACAAACTGGTTGTCTCATCAAAAGACAAACAAACCGAAGAAGAAGCAGCAGCCGACGTGCTCTCTAACGGTGCTGGGACCCACGATAGAGAACATATGAACAACCACTCAGAGAGCGATATACACATAGAGAGAGCGAGTGCGAGAGAGAGAAGCGAGAGAGTGAGCAACTTTGAGCACTTTTAGCAGTTAACAGTGCGCTGTAAACGCTTAACATATATACACTCTGTCCGAAACTCACTCAATACAGCCGAACACACAGCTCATGCGCGCACTCGCTCTCACTCCATTTTGTATTTGCTTCGTTAACAGCTGAGTAGCAGCAGCAGTGCGCTCTCGCTCTCTGCTCTCTCTGGCTGCGCAAGCGTTACGACATTTGATTGGCTCGATTAACACAATCGGAGCACCCGGTTATAAACCAGTATAACAGCGCACTCACACACGAGCACACTCGGGCGTGCATGCAGGCGAGACAGCACGATCGCTTGCCTGTTCGTTTTGTTCGGTCTATAAATATGAAGAGCAGCTGTCGGAGCGTTGGACAGAAAGAGTGCGCACTATATAGCGCCGCTTTGCTCGAGTGAACGCGAACTTATTTACTCATTTCATTGACCAATGCAGAGCAAAACACACGCACACACATACATGCACTCAACATATATAGCAACGAGAGTGACGACTGATCGCCTAAGTGTGCGTGTGTGTATGTGAGTGTAGCTGTCGCACGTGGGCGTGGTCTATTTATGCGGCACAACTGTTGCCATGTATCGATCGATACTTGTGTGTTGGCACCCCCTGCTCTCCCCACTCGCCCCCTTTGGCCTAAGCTCTGCTTTTTGTGTGTGTTTTGTTTTTGCATGCGCACGAACTGGATTCAATTGCCGTTGGCTGGGGCAACACTCACGCGAGTTTGTTAGTTAGTTAGCTAGTTAGTTCGTTAGTCAGTTAGTTTGGGTCAACTTCCCCGCATTGCTAACGGTGTTAAATTGACATCGCATCGCACTGACCACCCGACCGCCCACCCGCCTGCCCGTCCGCCCTCGTCTGGCGCCAGCTCACGCCATCTTTTTAGCCATTTGCAGTTGTCAAGTTGTCATAGCAGTGATCGTTAAATGCGTTATCTGTTGATAGCCATAAGACATTTTATGATATTAGTTGCATTGTGAGCAGCACTAGAAACACTCGAAGCACTTGAAACACTCGAAACACTTGTTCAGCCTAACCTGCCTCGACATGCCACATCGGCCAATCGCCACTCAAGTCTTGAATATAGCAGCAACTCGTTCATATTTATCGGCTATGCGGCTGTTTATGAAGACAATCAGCCAAAACCAGATTTCAATTTAGCCAAAGATATGTAATGAGAAAAGCTCATTTATAATTATCATTATATTTTATTGTTATCATTATTTTTTAACCTTGCCTTTTATCAACATTTGAATACATACAATGTATCAGTCAATTCTTCAATTGACAGATTTTCCTTTGTTTTCTCCCATTTTCACATTCTGACAAAAGTCAAATTTCTTTCACATTTGCAGATGTTCTTGTTTCATTATGGGCGTGACGCCAGCAGCAGAGTCGACTACGCATCTACGCATCAGCATCCCATAATATTTCCACTAACTGAGCCAAGCTATACTCCACAGAAGTTAATCCAATTTGTTGAGTTTTACGATGTTGAAACAGTCGAAAACCCGAAACTCGTTATCATCTGTTTGTTGTCGAAACCCTTTGAGAAAGGGTCGCAATCCGGCATAGAAGTCAAATACGGGCGGGCTGCTCTCAAGGTAAACGCCCCGAAATCGAAACGGAAATCGAAACYGAGAACTGAGAACTGAGAATTGAGGACGCTCGCTCCGAGTGAGTTTTGGTCAGAAGGAAAACGGGGTGTTTAAACCCATTACAAGGAGTCGCAGCGAGTTCTCTGTGATTTTCGGCGCTGCGGTTGCTCTTGCGGTTGCCCTGTGAGCTACCTTTTTTCAGTTCCTTTTTATTGACTGGCCAACACCCACACACCCACACACCCACACACACACACACACACACACTCCCACAATAGAGCATTCGTTTTGGTTGCCTTTGACAGAAATTTCATGCTTTAATTTCTCAAACAGTTTGTGGCATTTGCATATGGCATGAGTGTGTGTGTGTGTGTGTGTGTGTGAGTGTACTGTGTGTGCCCTCATGTGCTGGCTAATCCATGCTGAGCAACAGATAATCCCTTGCAATTGTTTGCTTGATTTGTTTGTTATGGTGCTGCTGCCTCGGATGCTGCTGCTGCTGCTGCTGCTGCTGCTGCAGTTTCTTCTGCAGAAATAGTCGCGCATCCTTTGGCACACAATTGCCACATACAATGGAACGTGCAACTGCGTCTTGCCGTTGGACTCGCCCCTTTTTGGTTACACTTTAATGCGTTCTAATGTATGTGACTTTTGCTCAGATCCTCACAAAACGCGCCTCAAACATTTTGCCGCCGCCCGTTGAAGTGACTTTGCGAAAATGTTCACTGTCTCTGTGTGAGTGAGTGTGTGTGTGTGTGTGTGCCCATTGTCCTGCATCAATCAGCAATCATCAATCATTTCGGCTGCTGCTCAATATAAATATTTCGGATGAAATTAGGTTAAAGGCTTGCAGAAAAGAAAGAGATATGGAGAGAGGGGAGAGAGAGCAAGGGGGGGGGGGGCCCAAGGCATTTCGAGCTTGTGTCATGTTGCCAGAGAATAGTCGGCAAATGTTTGCTCTCAGCCAGCAGCATAACTGAGAGTGTATTCGTGTGTCTGTGTGTGTGCCCCTCTCTCACTGTGTGTGTGTGTGTGTGTGTGTATACAATAAATTAATTATAAATGCATTAATCACTGCCAAAAACTTTGACAAATACTGACATGAGCGTTCGTCGTTGATTTCGTCTCGTCTCGTCTCGTCTCATCTCGTTTCGATTCGATTTCGGTTTCGGCTCGTTTTCGTTTTGTTTCGTTCTTTTTGCATTGGAGATGCGCGCGTGAAATGAAAACAAAAATTTAAAACACGTTTTCGCGCTTATTTCTGACTAATTTATGCGTTCGATTTGTTCGTTTGTCTGCCAACCAGAGCCAATCATTCACTTACACAGTTTACTCGTCTCAATTATACCCTGGAAAGCGCGAATGCTAATGAGGGGGCGGCCGAGAAGTGTATAAACATATTTTTATAGACTTTCAACTATTGATGTATTTCTTATAGTGAATACTTAAAAATATGCATATCAAATATTATGTACTTCCATATGTATATATCATTTCCGTATTCACATGGATACATGGATATATTTTTTTCCACATCTAACTTTATATGTTTATATTCATTTTATTCATATTATTTCATTATCTTTACCTGCATATCCATGTCAATATCATTACCCAAATCTATACATATATTCATATGTTTAATTATGTCTTTATTGAATACAGTTTATTCACATCCATCTGCATATATTTTTATATCCATATCCGTATTTTTTTCTCTCTAAATTGACTCTAGTTTTGTTAATACATATTTTAAAATAAATTATTAAATAAACATGCAATCATATACTCCGATCCGATTAGCATTTACGTATTTAAAATCAATATGCATATCTATCTATATCCTTATTCTTATCCTTACCCTTATTCTTCTCTCTATTTATATCTTATTTCACATTCTTTTCCTTATTCGTGTTCATATTTAAGCTCCTGTCCTCATCTATATATCTTTATCATATATCTTATCATATACTTATTCATAGTTATATTTAATTAATAAATTATTTTACTGTATTTTTCATTATCTATTTATTCAATAAACTTTTTAATAAATTCATTTCCTGAATATCATTGCTCAATATGATTAATCGATATATAATAATGTTGATCAATCAAATTATTTAGCACCTCTTTTCCATTCCTGCTTCTACAGGGTATCTCTTACGTCTGCCCCACTCTACTAGTGCAAACATTTGCTGCTCGTTGTGCCAAAATGCCACAGGTTTCGGTTGTCGTTGTTGTTGTAGTTGTTGTTGGTATTTATACATTTTTTTCCATTTCTGATTTTGATTGAAAGCCCCAGAAATTGATTTCCACCTTGCGGCATTTGGATGCTCTTTGGCATGTTTCACATTTGGCAGCTTTGTGCCGTATGCCATATGCCGTATGCAAATGAGATCGTTGATCTGTTTTGGTATCGATTGGTTTTTTTCGAAAGACATCAGCGGGCAGAGCGTGCCACATAAAAACTCGAAACCAAATCATATTTGACCCTTAGGGGTCGCGCATGCCAATAATGAAAACCGAAACCGAAGCCGAAGCCGAAAACAGCAAAAACACACGAGATACAAATACAAAATAAAAATCAAATCAAATCCAAAAGACAGAAATGTTAATTTCCTGCATACACAAACACATATTCGTATATATGCGATCTATGAAAAATGTGAACCACTTGGGACAAAAGTTGATTTTATTTAGTTTTTTTTTCAGTTTTTTTTTTTTTTGGTTTCATTTGGATGTGGGGGATTTCTTTTCTGTTCAAGTTTCGCTTTGTGAACAGAGATTTTCCAGTTTCCAGTTTGTAGTGGTGCGAATTTGAATTTAATCAAATTAATTTGTGTGTGTCAATGCGTTTGGACATTGATAAATTGATAGATCGGATTGAGTGTGGCCGAACAAATTGCTCCAAAAAGAGCGAAGACATTTACTAACAAATCTCCATTTGGCTATGACAAAACATTTAGATGCCCGAAAGCTTGGCTTATTCCACATTTTATGGTCACAACCGGTTCACATAATATTGAATATTATTGTCTGGCCACAGAGTCTGCGCGGCTAGAACAGCTTCCGTGCACAGCCCCATCTGATGGGAGCCCATTTCCATTTCCAT